TTAGTCTCCAGAGAGACACCGTTGCTCAAGTACTTTAGAGAGGTCCCTAACAGCAGACTTTCCCAACGCGATAAGTTTTTTATTTCCTTATGCAGTTAGAGGAAGAGAAATGCCTCCTCAACCATGTCATTTTTATAGTGGATAATGTATATCATTTTACCAAGGACTTTCACTGTTTTAAGGAATGCTGGTGGTGTAGTGATTAGGCGCTCAGCTGCTAACCACAGGTTAGTCTTTCAGAAGCACTCGCTGCTACAAGGGAGAAAAATCTGGCAGTCAGTTCCCTTAATGATTACAGCCTTGGAAACCCTCAGGGGCAGTTGCTATCAACAGCAATTGACTGGAAGGCAGTGGGTTTTCCTGGTTTTATAACCGCATGTTCCACCTTCTGGGAACCTTCTAAGTACTGGAAAAAAACCAGTTGATCACCTTGCCCATAATTATTTTTGTTTTCTGCCAGGGATCTTTACTGTGTTCACCTATGACAGCACCTGACCCACGCTGTTGTTGTTGTTAGGAGCCATCAAGTCGACCAGTCACCGTGACCCTATCAACAACAGATCTGAACCCTGCCCTAGTCTCTCTCAACCTCATGATCTCTGTCCTGCTCTAGCCTACTGCAGTAGTCCCTGTGTCACTCTAGCTCGTTGAGGGTCTTCCTCTCTTTCGCTACCTTTTCCAGAACGATGTCTCTCTCCGAGGCCTGGTTCCTTCTGAAAATATGCCCAAAGTAAGTGAAACAAAGATTTCACCATTCTTGCCACTAAGAAGCGGTTTAGCTGCACTTCCTTCAAGACAGATTTGCTTGTTCTTTTGGTGGTTCATGGGATTTTCAATACTCTCTGCCAACACCACAATTTGAGCATTGCTGTTTCTTCTGTATGCTTCTTTCTCCAAACCTGTTCAATCTGTACACTGAACACGTAATTCGAGAAGCTAGACTTTATGAAGTACGTGGCATCAGGGTTGGAGAAGACTCATATACAACCTATGTTATGCAGATGACACAACCTCGTTTGTGGAAAGAGAAGTCTTAAGGTACTTATGCAGAAAGATCAAAGACTACAGCCTTCAAGGTGGGTTATATCTGAATGTCATGAAAATGAAAATCCTCACCACTTGAACCGACCAACTGGCAAAGGATTGAAGGTGTTACTGATTTCGTTTTATTGAGTCGACAGTTAACAACCAAGGTAGCAACAGTCAAGAAATCAAAAGATCTGCTGTCAAGGACCTGTCTAAAGTGCTAAAGAGCAAGCATGTCAGTTTAAAGGCTAGTTGTGTCTGATCCAGGACATGGTATTTTTTTCAATTGCTTTGTATGCAATTTGTATCTAGGAGTTAAGATAAACGAATAAAGAGGACAGAAGAATCGATGGTCCATACAGACAGGGTGATCAATAAACAGGGCTTACCCACTGGCCCATCACTTCCTTAAATCAACAAGCTGCTTTAAGTCACACTAACATACAACCTGAAAATAACTAAGTGCATGATTTTGAGTTCTTCAAGATTAATTCCCCTAAGGGAGCTCTGGTAGCCTAGTGGCAAGAGGCTGCACAGTTTGAATCCACTAGACTCTCTGCTGAAGAAGGAGGGGCAATCTCCTCCTGCACCTGCTGGATCAAGGGTACAAAGACACACAGAAGGGGTGGGGGGAATTCCCTTAAAATTGCATTCTGTAGGAGCTCTAGTGGCCTAGTGGCAAGAAGCTGCACTGCAATCCCAGAGGTAAGCTGTTTGAATCCACTAGATGCTCTGCTGGAGAAGGAGGGGCAATGTCCTCCTGTACCAGTCAGATCTGATTTGACGGTACACACACAAAAAATAATAAATTTTTTTTAAAAAAATTGCATTCTGAAAAGCATGACCAACAAAAAGAAAACGACTTTTAAAAACAACAAAGCCTATGCCCCAGCATATATGTAAACCAAATTGAGATTTCTTCTTGTTCATGTTAGAATTCGCTCCTATTTTATTTTTTAAAAAACAAACCAGCAAACACAACAACAACCCACAGGTCCCACATACCCTGGATTTCACCTAACGTGATTTGACTCAGGTGGGGAAAATTTGAAAACTTGGACACCCCTCCCTAACCTTCCGTGAAGCAGGCGTTACCAGCTTAGGTACCAAAGTCAGGCCAATTCTTACCTCCCGTATAGAGAAAGGAGCTGGACAGGCCTCCAAAGTAGATGAGAGCCAAGTGTTCCAGTTTTAAAGAGGACAAATAGTAGAGGCAAGCTGCACAGACACAGCCCAGGGTGTAGAGGAAGACTCCAAACCATACAACATCCTGGGGCTCCAAGATTCGGTCCACCAGAGTTCTATCATCGCTCTTCTTGTGGTCAATTCCCTTGGAAAAGTCATAGTAAGTGTTGACCAAATTGCCAGCCCCATGTACAGCCAGGACAGCCACGGCACAACCCAACAAGAGCCTGGGATCCAGGGTGCCCTGGGATCGATAGGCGAGGGCACTGCCCAGGGCCACGGGGGTGAGGGACGCACTGAAGCTCCACGGCCTCAGAGCCAACACGTAAGAGGCGCACTTCTGCCTCCAAGAATATTGAGAGGGCCTGTCCTGCCCAAGGCAGTCGTTACCAAGCAGGTCCCTGTCCCCCGGCTTGGCCGTCTCTCCCGTGTGGATGCTAATCTTCTCCCCCAAAAGCTGCGTGGCCGCCATGGAGTCCACACGTGGCCGAGGTTAGCTCTAAAGTGAGCTACCCCCAGCCCAGCTACTGTCCCGGGCCGAGAAGGAAGAAGGCGGGGCGGCCGGGCCTGACCTTCCTCCGGTCCCGCCCCGGGGCAGACACTTAGTAGGCGGCACGATTCGAGAATTGCAGCAAGCCGGCCTTGCACCCAACGAGGCCTGGCGGCACTGCTCCGACTACACGTCATCTGGGGGAGAACTGTCTCCGGTGCCCCGGCCTGAGTCAGAGTTCAAGGCCAACCCGCGGCCGGTTTCCCCCGGCTGCTGGGGCCTCCATCTTGTGCGTCGATCTCTGGAGGCCGGCCCGGAAACAGGCGCCCGACGCGCGAACCGGGCCGGGCTAGAAGGGATCCGGCGCGGGGCGGGGAGACGCCCTGAGGTCCAGCCCCTGCCAGGCCGGACACTGCCCCCAGCAGCTGGTACCCGACTGGATGGAAACAGCTTCACCTAGCAACAGAGAAACTGCTCGTATAAAGCTTCACAATTGAGCAGGTTCTTTCCACGAAATTGAATTCATTCATTTATCCACGCAACAAGCATTTATTGTGCACCAACTGTGTTGTATACTGCCCTAGACGCTGGGGCCACAGCAGTGCACAAAAAAAAGAGAAAAATCCGAGAACAAATCGAAGGTCCTAAGGATGTATAATCAATCATCCTCATTTTTTTAAAGCCAATGAGACATACTCAGGCTTCTTTCTGCAACCTCTTTGGTCTTTCACCAGGATTTTCTGGAGGTAGAAAGGTTTGAATTAAAACAGCAAAAGATATTCCGATGAGTAACAACCAAGAAATGCTGAAGATCATTAGCTATTACAACTCCAAGACCCACTACCTACCAGTCAATTCCAACGCATAGTGACCTTCCTTTTCTTCCTAAGGGGAGGAGACGGCCCAGCTTCCTTTCAGAAAAGATTGTAGATTCAAACTACTGACTTTTTGAGTAGCAAAATTTAGTAAAAGAGTAGACAACAAAGGCTGGTGGAGGTATGAGGAGAATGGAACACTCAGTCACCTATTATATTGTAAAACATGATAGGTGTAAAAAATCACGCTATATATATTGTAAAATGGTGTGACTACTATAGAAAATGGTTTGGCGCTTCCTTTAAAAGTTGGAAATCCACCAGATGCTCTGCTGGAGAAGGAGGGGCAATCTCCTCCTGTACCCGTCAGATCAATTTGATGGTACACACCCAAAAAACAATAATATAAATTTTTAAAAAATTTAAAAGTTGGAAATAAAAATAGGATTTGGTGGGCAAAAGACAAGGGATGACTTTTCACCGAGGAAGTCATACAGGTGGCCAACAGACAGATGAAGAAATGCTCAAAGTCACTGGAAATAAGAGATGCAAATCAAAACTACAATGACATATCGTCTCCCTCCAGTAGCAGTGGCAAAGTTTAGTAGGGCAGCAAGCAATAAATGTTGGAGAGGATGTGGAGATGTGGTAACTCTCATACACTATTATTGGGGTTGTAAAATGGTGCAGCCACTCTGGAAGATAGTTTGACGTTTCCTCAAAAAGTTGAACACTGTGGCAATGGGACAATTAAAACACACTTTCAAGGGGGGGAAGAGAGAGAGAGAAAAACGAACTGTGGGGGGTAGAGAAAATAGTGCAACAATGAATGAATGGAAATCCAAAATCTCTGTAGTGTTCATTAAAATTAATAAAATAAAATTTTTTTAAAAAGTTGAACTTAGAAACTGTATGACCCAGCTATTCCACAACTAGGAATAAAACTGAGACGCAGAGATTTGTACACCAATGTTCACAGCAATGTTATTCACCATCACAAGAACATAAAAACAGCTCAAATGTCCAACTATAATGGAATGGGTTGAAAAATTGTGATACATTCACATGATGGAATACCATGCAGCACTCAGGAGCAATTATTTAGAAAAATATTACATAACTTGGACAGGCTGGAGAGCATTACGCTGAGTAAACTAACTCAGTCTCATAAGAACAAATACTTTATAAGACCATTTATGTAAAAATAGAAGGATAACTAATAAAACATGTAAGGGGACGCAAAGGATGGAAGGTTGAGGATGGGTAGGGGAGAAACCACAGTTTGCATAGTTTGGTTAGGGAGGGAGGAAGGAGATGGGAAGGATCTGGGTGAAAATACAAAGTAATAATTAGCAAGGCTCAATGGTGTTTAATTTTATAAAACATAATGTATGAGAATGATTGTATGAAACAATGTGAATGAATTATAGTGTAAAATATAAGGTATATGAATTCTGTAAGCAAATCAATAAAGATATATACCATTTTATCCAGCAGTGCAATTGCTATCCTGAAGAAATAAAAGATTTTACATGAATAGATATATGCACACTTATTTTCACTGAAGCATTATTTACAATTGTAAAGAATGGAAACAACCCAAATATCCATCAATGGATGAATGGATAAAGAAAACATGGTACATACATGTAAGATATGAAGAAACATAGTACATACACCATATAAAGTACATACACAAACATGGAATACTACACAACACTAAAGAATAAAGAAGAATTCAAGAAACATGGCATAAATGAACATGGAGGCTCTTAGGATATTATGCTGAATGAAATAAGTCAGTCATAAAAGGAAAAATAATTTTAC